GCGCGGGAGGACAGTGGGCGCAGCGCGGCTCCGCCTGCTCCCTCCTCCGTGGACTGGAGCTCGGGGAGGCACTGAGGCCCGGCTCCCGCGACGCGTCCTCTGCGCAAGCACAGCCGCCCCACCGTGGACCGTTCCAGCCCAGGCAGCCTCCCTCCCTCGTCTCAGGCGGGCAGATGCCGGGCCAACGGGGGAGTGAGACTGGAGGCGGGGGGCCCTCCACCTGCCGACGGCCCCCAAATCCCCCCAAGCTTCCTTCCAGCCTCTGGGGTCCCCGGGTGCCTCCTGGGAGGGTGAGTGCGGGCCCCTCCCCGTCGAGACGTCCCTGCAGGGGGAAGTGGGGAGCGAGGCTGGACTCCGAGCAGCAGGGTGGGGGTGCCTTGTGGGCACCGCACGTTTCATGACCCCTGTCCTCTCCCCAGGAGTGTCCTGCCATCGCCTCCACACCAGTCACCTTCTCCCTGGGGCCTCCCGGTGTCCTGGGACCAGGCCTGGAGAGGGAGGGGGGCGGTGTCTCGCCGGAAGTGGGGTCGTTGCTGGAACCATCGCTAGGGTTCCAGATGGAGACCTTTCTCTCCCTGAGTGGGGGAAGGAGACAATGCTCGGGGTGCAGGGATCCTGAATCAGATTACCCCGGAGGTGGGGACAGAGGCAGGAGGGCACGCACTGCAGGTGTCCGGGGTCTTGGGCTCCCAGCCTCAACTGGGTGGGGACATGGTCAGGACATGTGCGAGCAGGGACAGCGATGGGGCCTAGCACTGGGCGGTGGCGCTGGGGTCCAGCTGCACTGTCCCCAGCGTTGACTTTTGCCATCCTCACGGATTCGCCACACGTGAATGTATCCCTCAGTGACGTAACCTTGAGTCTGACCTAACTTGATGCCTGTGGACGGAATCACACTGCTCGTTTCCTGCTGACTTGCTCGTCTCCGCTGTGACCCTGACCCTCATTCATGCTGCTGGGGCCACGTCGTCATCCGCTTTCAGAAACGTCGCACAGTTTTCTTTTCCATCCGCCTGTCGGTGGACATCAGCTGTTTCCACTGCTGGCTACTGTAAAACTAGCAATCTTCTTAGAGCCCGTCAGGATCGGTACATAACTGTATGAGCCATTGGACAGCGGCCCAGAAATCCACTCCAGAGAAACAGGAGGCAAGAAGATACACAGATCCAGGAACTGAAAGCCACAGGTGTTACACACGTGCTACTTTCTCCCAAGAAATCTCTGAGGAGATCCAAGGTTCTTTTGAATGGGGTGCGGCTCAGAAAGGGCAGGTGGAAGAAGTCTCAGCCCCACTCTCGCTGCTCCAGGCACGGCCTCAGGACACTGGCTGCTTGCCCTTTGCAGATGGAACTGGTCACAGCAGCAACCAAGACAAACATCCAGCGTTCCTGTGGGGTCACGGGGGGTGACGGGGGCGAAGTCAGGGCAGCACCAAGGCCCTGCTGGAAATAAATATGGTACATTCACAGCTTTCCTATGACCCATCCACAGGTGCCTCCCACGCATGGATGGTCCTGCAGGCATAAGGTTGAGCAAAGGAAACCAGGCACCACGGAGCTGGCCCTGCACACCATACAGGAGGTGCAAAAACCAGCAAAACTAGTCCACGGTGTGGGGGGACAAGGGGTGCGGGGGGACGGGTGAGCACCTGCTTCTGTCACGTGTGTTGGCTGCACGGGTGTTTTCTGTCTGGAGGAAGTTCACAACCAGGTGTGCACACTCTTCTGGATGTGTACTGCCCTTCAATACAAGTTTGGAAATTTCAAAACAAAACAACCGGAAACCCTGCTGGGGTGAGTAGTTTATGAAAACAGGCAGAGAGAACAAGGGAGCTGATCTAAGCGTTCATTCCTCCAACCCTTCTCCTCCTAACACCTCTGGGGAGTGGATCCCAACACGGGAAGACTGTCTGACCCAAGCAGTTTCTCAGCCTCGCCTACCCAGCAGGAACACCGGGGGGTGCTGCTAAAAATCCCACACCCAGACTATCAGGCCAGTCTCCAGACAAGGGACTGGGCATCAGTCACTTGTAATTTCCTGGAGACTCCAATACACAAACTACTAATCTGGAAAAGAAAAAAAAAATTGTTTTTTGCACTGGATGCTTGTTAAAAACAGCCAGGAAGACTTAACCTAAGACTTGCAATAGGGGAGCATGAACTCAACTCGGAATACATATGTGAACAAAAAGTACTGCAAACCGTATCAGTAAACAAAGCCATCAAGTCATCAGCCGCTGCCCCCCCCCCCATGG